GGGCGGGGCCGGCAGCGGGGGCGCGGGGGCGCCGAGGGGAGGCCCGGGGCAGGGGGGCGTCGAGGGCGGGGCGCGGTAACGGGGCGGGGGCGGCTCAGCGGGGTGCGGGGCGGCGGGGGAGCCCGGGGGGGTGCGGGGCAGTCGGGGCCCTGAGGGGGTGCTGGACGGGGGACAAGGCGATGGGGCACTGAAGGGAGCCCCGGGGGGGCGGGAGCAGCGTTGAAGGGGCCCCGGAGGTGACAAGGCGGTGGCGACACTGAGGGGCGTCCCGGGGGAGACGGCACAGGGTGCGGTGGGACCGCCCAGGGGCCGCGCTGCCGGGCAGGGTTGACCGGGCCGCGTCCCGCAGTTACCTGGCGCTGAGCGCCGTAAACCTTTCCCTTTTTTTATTTTGTTTCCTTCGCACAGCTAGGCTGCAGCTCGTGAGAAATATGCGAGGCGGGTTTTGGTTGTTTTTTTTTTTTTTTTGGTCAGCGCTTGTAAGCCTGAATCGCGCCCCTGCAAACTGAGAACTTCCTTTATGGGGAAGGTTTTTCACACGTTTGGGCTGCAGATACTGGTTTGTAAAGGCTTTAATAACAATATACAGAGAAACAAGTTCCATAATCTTAAAGTTTGTTTAAAATAAAGTCTTCATTACATGGATGTTTTAAAAGAACAACTTAGCAAACCTTAGAAAACATAAATCATGAGAGTCAGCATTAAACCTTAAGAAGCAAATCTCTTTTTCTTTTCAAAAGCGTTCTTATATGTATGTGTTTACACAGTGAAATATTTTAATGGAAAGATCCTGGTCCATGCCTGAGCAGTGTTGAAGCTATTAAACTGGCCTGACAGGCTACCTAAGGATTCCCTTGCCTTGGAGAGCCTTTTGTTAATGTAAAGCTGATGTGGCTGTTTTCTGCCTCCTCCCCTGTGGGTCATGTTGCATGAAGTAAAAACGGTGTGGTCAGACTGCAGGTGAGCTTTGGCCACCCCTGCCTATTGAGATAGTTTCTGGGCAATGTTTGGGGGGCGATTCAATTTAAGGAAGCTTAATAGCCTTGCGAATAATCAGGGTGCTGTGCTGGACCCTGGCAAAAGCCATGGTCAAAGTAGGTAGAAAAGGGCAAGTTCTCTGGAGTCCCACCCCTCATTCTCCTCAAGTTCCAACTCAGCTCAACAGTTCCTGAGGGTCCTAGTCATAACAATAATTTGGTAAATAAAAAGAAAAAAGAGGGATGGATCCCTCGTCTAGGAGGTTGGCCTGTCACGTAAGGGTGTTTGTAAATGCCCATACAGCTTATGTATTTACACAGAAAGCCAAGCTGAGCACAGGTAAATAATTACTGCTAAAACGCTATTACTTGCAGTAAATACAAACTAATATTTGCTGTTCAACACAATATTTGCTGAGGAAACCAGAAGAACCAGAACCAATGTTTGTTCCTGGAGAGCATTTCATGCCGGCTGCTGGAAATACATGTACACATCACTTTGTGTGTTCTCCCTGTAATGGTCCTCTGCCGCCTCTTGGCATAAATAGTTTGGATAACTTGATCCTTCACTATTTGTCCTTGCATCTTACCTGTATTTCCACAAAGTTAAAAAAAAAAAAAAAGATGCAGAATAGTAAATAAGAAATGTTAAAATGGCTATAAACAGAAAGATATGTCTCCACAAGCTATAAAGGGGATTAGACATGATTTGCTGTTATAATGTTTCCTCTAGTGTAATAATTTCCTTTGGAGAAAAGTGAGTATATAGTTAAAATACAGTCTAATGACCCAAGCAATGTCTTTCCTTATACTAGTATTTTAGATACAAAACCAGTTCCAGCTACTCACTATAAATTACATATGTAATGCATTAGATTTTACCTAAGTCAAAAGTTAACATTTTAACACTTGTTTTAAAAGATAAAATATGCAATCCCATAGGAAGCAGGCTAGTATAGGAGACAGCTGGAAACATTCCCTGGACAGATGCATAGCTTATATTCAGATGTATCAATAAAAAACACAAGTATTAACAACATTCATCCTCCTTAACCACTTGGAACAGGGAGCACTAAGTGTTCTGCAGAGAAAAACTGGTTTCTACCTACAGAGGTTAAAGGATTAATGAATACTTGGCACATGAAAAATGAATAGTGATAGTGGGAAGAAGATTGCATGTAGACGGTGTGATAAGGTGCGTAACAGAGAAACATCACGTTACACACGTTGCTGTGCCCTGAGAAAAAGACAAAGCTCATTTCCATTGAGTTTCAGATAAAATATTTGAAAACATCAATATTTATTTTGTCATACTTAGAAATATTTTATTCAGTTATCTATTATATCTAAGGAAATCATCTAGAAGAGGGGATGGCTGACTGACAGTGGATGATAAAATTTGTTCTCTGTGAGCTTCATTATGTGCTATGTTGGCTGTTTACATGGTCTGTTGCCTGCTACTAAGAACTATTACCCCTATGCATGAATTTGCAGGGCAGTATCTAAGCAAAAAAATATGTTGCTACATTCGCATGAGAAATGTATTACCTGATTATGTATCAATAGATTGATACAGAAGTAGGGATATTACACATTACTATTTGATGTATATCACAGATTTATAGAGAAGTGTAGTTCTCAATCACATGCTTTTATGGAAAACCTGTCCTACTAAATCACCATCTTGGCTCACTCCATACACCTGACCACTCTGTTTCCAGTCTCATCTAGCTTAACAAAGCTGAGCATACATCATCTATTTGAAAATGTTTTGGCTTAGATTTTAACACAGAAAGACTTTGAAAACATTTAGTATTTCTCAAGATTTAGAAAGTTCTTTTTTTTCCTCATTTTTTCCCCCTGGAAAGAGGGAACTTTAATCATATTTCCTATTAATCAAGGGGACTTTTCAGCATGCTGTTTTTTCAGAAACAACAGTCCTAAATTTTGAGACAGGAACATTAACAGTGTATTGCCATATACTAGTCTAAAATTAGAAAATCATATTTTTGGAAGCCAGGAAAAAAAATTGGCCCACTGACCATTTCTGATTACTTATTTTTTCATAAGCTCAACAAGTGTGTTTATGTGTGATTTTAGACTTTTTCCGTAGTCCTTCTCCACTTCTGCCATATTGCCTTCAGAGCACTACCACTAATTCCCTTTTATTGACTCCCACCACTAACAATATCACATGGCTCTTTCCAGTCTTCCTCTAGCTGTTCGTCCACTAATGGAGTTTCTTAAAACTTACCAAAACCAACATGTTGTAAAATCTCCCTTTAATGTTCCTCAGCCTCTCACACTGTATTTGTCCTCCACTGATACAGAATTTTCTTCACTGTTCTTCCCCAATATCCATTGTCTTATTTGTCTTATATTTTTGTCTTAGATCCTAATCCATGTGCAAATAAATAATACTTTTGAAAGAAATTTAGCAACTTCTACCCTTAACGTAAGCATGATTTAAGTGGGTTTTTTTTTAATTTATTAATAATCAATCATTTTTCAAAATGGGGAATGGCATCACCAGCAGAGAGCACACTGGAACCTCAGAACAAAAGAAAACATAAAATCAATACCATATTTTAACAATGTGTGCCTGAAACACATAAAAATACATCTGAAATAAATGAGTAATGTGCTGAATATTGAGAGATTTTGTTATTTAAATTAACACCAGTTATAAAAAAATATAAAAAATGTTATTTATTCCATTTCAGATTGCATTAAATTTTTTAACTCAAATAAGCAAATAAATAAAAAAATCAACCTGACCTAAATGAATTTTTATTTGGGATGCATGGTTAGACAAAAGCTGTAACAAATTACATGATGCATTTTAGAAGACAGATTGTGTTCATTTGCTGAACTTAGAGAAACCTTTGGGTTGACAGATAATCAATTCAAATACCTGCAGTTGAGGGATTGTATTACTAATTCCTTTCACAACCCTTCCCTTTTGGATACAGGCAAATAAACGGGTTTTCTTTGCCAAGGAATTGACCACATCAGCATGTACAGCCTTTCAGGTATGGTTGCTGTCTTGCAATCCAGCCTGTGATCATCTGCCAAGTGCTTCCTCCATCTTACTCCATTCAAACTGGGGGTAAGCTCAACATGTGGGCCTTGCCCCTTTATCTGACAGCTGCCATCAAGTATGAGGGTACAGATGTTTTTGGGCAAGGACATCAGCTTCTGTTTCTTTGAATCTACTTATGAAGTGTTTCAACATGCACAGTGCTCTGCCATCAAATGCT